GTTGTTACACTGCAGAAATTGACAGTTGCTACCAAGAAGGGTTTTCTTCTGCAGAGAACTGGTGCTGCTAAGACAGGAGAGCAGAAGGGTTAAAGACAACAGTTCTCAAATGAGGAGTACTGTCCCCCAGGGGGAATTTTGGGAATCCATGGGGACATTTTTTAGTTGTTACAATGGTTTTCCGACACTAGCACAGCACTTAGTGACTGAGGGCCAGGACTACTGAAAGTTACAAGGGGAAGAATCAACCTGCGTCCCCATGACTTTTGAACAACTGTTAGACATTCGTACAGCTGAAAAATCCGTTTATACGTTTCTGAGCCCTGAATCCGCTTTGCATGTATTATAGGTAATTCCACCCACCCCTGCTTCTTTTTTCCACGTCACTGAATCGTTGGGGAAACCGGGTCATTTGTCTTGTAGACTGTGTCCCACTTTCTGGACTTGGTCAATTCCATCCTCGTGGTGTTGATTCACTGGCAACTTTATCCTCCTTCCTCCTATTTTCTGAAAACTGGCAATTACAGTGAGAGGCTTGATAGGATTCAGGTGTTTTTTTTTGTTTTTTTTTTGGCAAGGGAAGGCTGAGGGGGGCATTTGTAGATGGTGCAGGGACCTCCTGTCACTTCACGGGGTAGAGGTGCTGCTTGTTCCTCTTTCAGTGTTAGGACTGCTGGGGGCTCTGCTGATGCCTGCCTCACCCCTCCCCGGTAAAATTCTTCATCAGTCTTGCGCCTGAGTGTGGCAGAAGCATTGCCTGGACCCATGATACACCATTAATGTTATCGAGTGAATCGGGTCCCGCTGCTCGCCACTTACAAAATCAATACAAACGTTGACAGCAAAGGAAAAGTGCCTTTAATCAGAGTGCTGGCAATCTGGGGAGATGGTGGACTCAGTGTCCCCCCAAAAACTACTTCTGAAGATTCTGCCATGAAACTTGTAAGGGAAAGAGGGAAGTAGTCCCAGTTAATCATTGAGATGGGGGTCAGAGTCATCACCATCATCCAGCTGTGTGCAGGCTTGTGGACTCTCGTAATCTTCCTCTAGATGTTATCTTGTTCACACAGTTTGGTCACACAGTTTGTTCAGGAGATTACTGAAGGGGAAGCTAGGGGAGAGATCTGGTCATCTGTTAATTCTTCATTTCTACTTCTTTGATCCACGGAAAGAACCAACAAGTTAGGCAGAGTATTATGCGATTAAAAGACGTGAAAGGTGTACTTGGGCTGGAGAGGAGTTGAGCATGAGGATGCCTGAGTTTAAAAATTAATTATAATATAGCTTTGCTAAAGTGACAGGGAAGGGCTTCGCTGGTGGCGCAGTGGTTAAGAATCCGCCTGCCAATGCAGGGGTCACGGGTTCGAGCCCTGGCCCGGGAAGATCCCACATGCCGCGGGGCTACTAAGCCCGTGTGCCACAACTACTGAGCCTGTGCTCTAGAACCCGTGAGCCACAACTACTGAAGCCCGTGCGCCACAATTAGGGAAGCCCGCGCGCCTAGAGCTGGTGCTCTGCAACAAGGGAAGCCACCACAATGAGAAGCCTTCGCACCACAACGAAGAGTAGCCCCATGCTCGCTGCAACTAGAGAAAGCCTGCGCACAGCAACGAAGACCCAACACCACCAAAAATAAATAAATAAAATAGATAAATTAAAATAAATAAGTAAAGTGAGAGGGAAAGGGGCTGAGGGTAGTTTCCTGCAAAATGCTTGCTCACACCTGGACCCATAACATACCATTAAGAGATGCAAAACGGTCATTTCCTAAGGGAATCTTTGTTGAAATAAGGGAAACTGAGAAGCGTTGCTACTTGCCAAGTGTTTTCCAAGATTCCGTCCTGCCTGGTTTCATATTCCAGCTTCTCCAACTCTCTAGCCATGTGGCCTTGGGCAAGTTACTTCACCTCTCTGTGCCTCGGTTTTCCTCTCTGTACCATGAGAGGGTGCCCCTCTCAAGGAATTGTGAAGATGGGATGAGTTTGGTTGGCCAGGTAAGTGCTAACAGTTGTTGGCCAAGCTAAATAAATGTAGGACGCTGAGACGACTGAGCCGGGAGGAGCCGGGCCCAGCAGAACTCTGTTTCCCCTCCTCCAGGCAGCCTTCTGGGCCAGCGTCCTGGCAGCGCCCAGGGAAGAGGGAGGGGCTCCGGGCTCACCTGGCTCCAGCTCCCGCCTCCCTCGGGCTCCGGGTAGATCCTGGGCGGGTTTCGGCCACAGGTGCTGGGAGGTTCGGGAGATTCTGATCGAGAAGTCAACCCGAGGGAACAGAATGCACTGAGCTGCTCGCGGAGCCACTTCGTCGTCCAGCCAGAACCAGGTGAGAGATGGCGACTGGGAGTTCTCCCTGCACCTGCAGCACACTTGTGTTTACACACACACACACACACACACACACACACACACACCACAGAGAGCTGAGAAGAGACTTGATCCCAGGGATTCAGCGGCAAGTGGAGACTCAGTTCGCTGGGGCGTCTCCGGAAGCAGAGGGTCCATCCCTCCCAGCCCGGGCGCCCACCGCCTCTGCCCCCCAGCACACTGGCCACCTGACCTCTCCGTCAGCCCCCAAGCCAGCCGCCCTCCTCGGCTCCCATCACCTTCCTTCCTGGCAAATCTATTACTTGACCTCACCCCCATCCCCTCTGTCACCACCCCTCTCCCCTGCCCCACCGAAGGCCACCAGCTCCCTCCCTCCCTCCCGTCACCCGGTTCTCCGGAACCGAGGCAAACTGAGAACGAAAGGCCAGGATGGGGCCCGCAGTAACTGGAATGTGCTGGTCCCACACGGTAGGCTGCTCGCCGACCCCCGAGAGACGGACGGCAGGACCCTGGTCAGAGAGTCCGGGCTGCAGGCTCCAGCCCCAGGCAAGCCCCCCGCCGGGGAGGTGAGCGGATCCCTGACTCCCTGGATTCTATCCTAAGTCACCGTTTCCATTCTAGGCCGAGCAGAACGCTGGGGATTTCAAAGTGGTAGCCTCACGTTGTTGTCTTAAGCTCTTCCTCAGCGTTGTGATTATAGGGTGAATTTCGGTGACAGGGATGGACAGGGCAAAGCTGCCCGTGCCCGGCAGCGTGGGTGTGGAGGGGATCCTGCAGCTGGGCAGGGACTGAGCTCAAGGAATCGGACACGCAAATTACAGGGTGTGATGGGACTGGGTTTCAGGTTGGGGAGAGTCGGGGTTTTGAGCAGAGGAGCCGGTAGGGTGAGCTCTCACGTGGGGACAGATGGCGGGGGGAGGGGAGGCACGGAGGCTCCGGCTAGACTCCAAGAGGGGAGGGGATGAGGCCAGGCCTGGGACAGAGGGAAGTGGACGAGAATGAGAAAGTCTAAAAGAAGCTATCAGCAGATTTGGGTGGCCCCACTTTTCTCAGGGACTTGGAGGCAGAATCCCCCTGCCAAGTTAGGGCAACCCCTCACGGGATGACTGCCAAGTTAGGGCACCGGGGCGGGGGGGTGGGGAGCGAGGGACCTTGACTCCTCCTCTCACCCCTCCCTGAAGGGTGTGATGCAGCTGGAAGGACTGAGGGCAGGTAAGGAGATGGACTTCCTGACCTCAGAGGACTGAAGGGAAAGGCAGACTCCTCCCCTTTGTCAGAAGCTGTGCAGCCTTAGTTTCTGACTGCAGCTGTCGGCTTTCCCCAAGAGCTCACCTCCAATGACCCCGACGATGTCAGGAGGTGCTGATTTCCAGGTCTCCTCCCCCCCCACCCCCCGCAGCCCTGGCCTTTCCCCAAGCCTGCCACTCACCCGCTCTCTGACCGGTCTCTGAGCCCCAGTTTCCTTAGCTTTTAAATTGATGTGTTTATGATCGCAAGATTGTTGTTAAAATTCAGCAAGATAACTGAACTAGGAGGAAGGGGAGTACGACGACAGCAGACAGGACGTTTGGTTCGAGCCCGACATAAATGTGAGTTTGGGGTATTAACCCCGCTCCAGATGAAAGGAACAGCCCGTGTGGTCCAGCATTCACTCCACAGCCCTGCAGAGAGGTGCTGTTATTATATTATATTATCCCCACTTTTTGGATGACGACACTGAGAGGCCCTTGGTCAAGGTCACACAGATAATCAGAGACTCTCACCACACCCCAAAGAGCTTCTCTCCAAACCTAAATCTTTCAAAACCTCGCAGCGTGGCCCCCTACTCCCAGACACTGGGTTTCACCCTGTGAGGCTCTCCCCACCTCTTCCTCTTCTCCCCGAAGCCTCGGCCAAGGTCATGGGGTTGAGTTCTGGAGGTCAGTAAGGCTCCTCAGCAGTGGCCAATCCCCCTTCCTGGGTGGGGAGGGGAGAAGCAACCAGGTAGACTGAGAGACATTGTTCTAGAACATTCTGCATTTCCTTTTACCTGGTCTTTCTGTCTGCTGTAAACAAATTTCGAAGGAACATTCAGGGGCACCCGCTGCCGGTCCAGAATTGAAGAGGTTTGATTGTGAAGGTCTGTGCTTTTAATATTCATTTTTTTTAACCTACTAGGTGCTGGGAAATGGAGACCAATAAAAAACAAGGGGGGGATATAGGAAAATGAATGAGGCAGGAAGATGCTGGCAGGGACTCACTGAGGAGGGAGGAAAAAAAAATGGGGCCAGACAGGGACTGCATTCTTACCGCGTGTATTTCCTGCTATGTGCCGAGCCCAGCTTCCGAGGGCTGTAGGGGACACACAGGGGACAAGATGGACACTGTCCCTTCCTTCACAGGAGGAAGTGTGTAATAAAGACACTAAGACTGAGAGATCTCGAAAGGGACTGACCTAGAGAGAGAGAGAGAGTTGGGGCAGAGCAGGGGCTGGAGGTGGGACCCAGTCGAGGAAGATCCATCCTGCCCGGCGGCCTTTTTCTCTCTCCCTCTCTGTCTCTCCCTCTGTCTCTTCTGTTGTCATTCTATTCCTGTCTCTGTTTCTTTCTGTGTTTCTCTTTCCCTGCCTCCATCTTTCTCTGTCTCAGTCTCTTTTTGTCTCTCTCTGTCTCTCTCTCTCTGTCCCTGTCTTTTTCTCCATTTCTTTCTACTTCCCTTTCTCTTTTCCTGTCTTTTCCCATCTCTCTCTCTCCCTTCCTTCCTTCTCTCTCTCCCTTCCTTCCCTCCATCCTTCTGCCTTCCTACAAGCATCCCCCTTGGCCCCCGTTGTTCCATGTCCCAAGCTCGGCAAATCTGGAGCCAGACAGAGGCTCCAAGTCTTCTCCTTGCCTTTCAAGCTGGAGGAAGGAAGAGAAAACCGTGGTGGGGAGAAGGCAGAGGCCACTCCACAAGGAGCTTTCCTCCTCCTCCCTCGATGCTCTCTCTTCCTTCCTCCAGCTTTCCGGTCCTCAGAGGGTTCCTCTCCCCCGTCAGGGGCAGAGTCTGAGGAATCCTGTGGGGATCTGGACCCGAATGAAAGTGCTGTCCTCTCCAAGTACCCGAGTCAAGTACATTCCGTGCAGGGCTGAGTGAGTGGAGGCTTCACTTTCAGTGGCCTTGAGAAAGCGGCCTTATCTGGAGCTTGTGCTCAATAAGGCTGAGACTTTCGTGAACCAAAACTGAGCTTTGAAATAAACCTTATTCACCAAACCCAGCCTCCCTGGCTCCTTCCTTTCAATGCGGAAGGGGCTAGAGGAGGTTGGACCACCCAGAAGTCTATTTCTGGTTGTGTCCAACACCTGGGGGCACCCAAAGGTCCCACACCCCCAGCTGAGTTGGTTCAATTCAAATCCAGGCATCTAGTTGACAAGGCTGAGTCTCTTCTGGAAAGAGAACCCTCCTGTGATCTTAATGGACTCGGAGGGTTTCGGAGACATAGATCAGAAGCAGGGATGTTGCTACCTTAGGTCTCGTGCTAACTTTTCTCAACCATAATGAACCCTAAAGGACCACACCGGCATAGCTTCTGGAAGCTTCCCAGCTTCAATCAGGTCACAGCTAGCTGGATGTAGCCCCAGGGTTCCCTTCTTAATGGCCATTTGGTTCAACAGTTTGACCAGGAACACGAGCTCTAGACCAAACCAAACAGAAACCTTTATCTCTAACCTACTTTGGTGCAGAGCTTCCAGGATATGCTGCGATTAAAGCCTGCTCAGGAGGAAGGGTTTTTTTTTTAACCTGGGTGGGAACCTCATATTCACAGAGAAGGAGGGGGGAAGTCTTTGGAAGAGCTGAGAGAACAGAAAGCCATCTTTCCTGGGACTCCTCCCAGATATCGGCATTCCCATTCACTCAGAGTCCAAGCTTGCTGAGTCAGTGGCCAGACCTGGACTTTCCCTGCGGCGACATGTGTTGGTCCAGCCTAGACTGCAGAAGGACAAAGCCCCTCAATCATGTCTAGATGGGGTCTTAGCAACAGTAAGGTGTTAACTGTGATGACGTTAAGTAAGGATTCTTCTGCTTTTCCTTGCTGCCTTCTAGCCACGTAAGGGGGAGTCAGAACCAATTCATTTCCTGCTTTTCGTTACTTGTGCTCTGCAACCTCATCCTTTCGGGGCCTTTGATTCGTTCTAAACAATCTCAGCCAATAGCTTAATTAACTGCTTCACTCTACAAACCACCGCGTCAAGATTTATGACCCAAGATGGGGAATCCTCAATGCCCTGGACCTCCTATAACGATGTCGCAGGAGAATGTGGTGTGAGAGGACTGTCACGTCCCAGGTCTCGGGTGAGTCTCTGGGACGGGCCACCAAGTGAGGGTCCTTGGCTTTGCACAGGAAAGAATTCAAGAGCAGGCCATAGTAAAGTGAAAGCAAGTTTATTTAGAGAGATACACATTCCATAGGCAGAATGCAGACCATCTCAGAAGGTGCGAGTGGCCCCAAGATATGGGGTGGTTAGTTTTTATGGGCTGGGAAATTTCACAGGCTAAGAAGTGGGAGGATTATTCCACCTATTTTGGAGAAGGGACAGAGAGTTCTAGGAACTGGACCATCGCCCGCTTTTTGGGCTTTTATGGTCAGCCTCGGAACTGTCGTGGCCCCTGTGGGTGTGTCATTTAGCATATGCTAATGTATTACAATGAGCATAGAATGAGGCTCAGGGTCTACTGGAAGTTGAATCTTCTGCCATCTTGGACCTAACTGGTTCTAACCAGTTTTTTTTTTTTTTTTTTTTTTTGCGGTACGCGGGCCTCTCGCTGCTGTGGCCTCTCCCGTTGCGGAGCACAGGCTCCGGACGCACAGGCTCAGCGGTCACGGCTCACGGGCCCAGCCACTCCGCAGCATGTGGGATCTTCCCGGACCGGGGCACGAACCCGCGTCTCCTGCATCGGCAGGCGGACTCTCAACCACTGCGCCATCAGGGAAGCCCCTAACCACACCCTGTTTTTCTCAATGGCTGTGTCATTCTTTAATGACATTCTTTAAGGGTGTGCCCTGCCCCCTTCCCTCCTGTCTCAATACCATAGTGAGTCCCATGTGTTTTCAGGAGGCCTGTTCTATGCAACCACCCTAACTCCTGGAACTAGCTTCTGTTGTAACCAGAGTTGAAAGGAACAGGTTGTATTGTTCAAATATAAGCAGATTTTCTGGGATTTCTTGATCAGGAGTTGAAGTTCCTTTGAGGTGTCTGCACATCTCTTCAGGTATCTTCTGGTTACTGGCTTCCTCTGCTTCAGCCTGCACTGATATGTCCCAGCCACATCTACCCCTACTCTCCCTTTCAAGATTACCTGCTGTGGTGTCACAGAATGATCTTCGGTCTTTGTCCCCAGTTCCTGGCACATAACACCTAATATCCTTGGCATTTTCTCATTGATAAGTGATAGGACTTGATGAGGCAACTGTTGCCAGGCCTCTAGATGGCTTCAGGATGGCAGCTGGTCAGCAGAAAGACCAAGCCTTCATTAGAGGATTGGCCCTTTTCAGCTCTGAGGAGGGGAGACGGACCAGAGATTGAGCACATCACCAGTGGCCAAATGATTTAATCAATCGCACCTACATAATGATACCTCCACAAAACCCCTAAACAGTGGGTTTCAGGAAGCCTCTGAGTTAGCAAACGTGAGCTAGGAGGGTGTTCTACCCCAAATCCAAGGGGACAGAAGCCCTGTGCTCAGACCCTCTGGACCTCCTCCTGTGGGCCTCTTCTGACTACTCATTTGTCTCCCTTATAATTAACTAGTAAACATAAGTAAAGTGTCTTCCTGAGTTCTGTGAGCCATTCTAGCAAATTATCGAGCCTGGTAGTTTCCTGGTCATGGGAATCCCCGATCTATGACTGGTCAGTCAGAGTATGAATGGCCCTGGACTTGTGACTGGTGTCTGAGGTTGGAGGCAGTCTTCTGGAGCTGAACTGTTTCACTTGTGGGATCTGATACTAAAGTCCAGGAAGACAGTGTCAGATTTGACTTGAACTGTTGGACACCCGAATGGCCTCAGGAGGAAAAAACTCTCACCTACCAACTGCCTTCTGAGCCTTTTAATAAAAATACTCAAGGGCTTCTCTGGTGGCTCAGTGGTTGAGAGTCCGCCTGCCGATGCAGGGGACATGGGTTCGTGCCCCGGTCTGGGAAGATCCCACATGCCGCGAAGCGGCTGGGCCCGTGAGCCATGGCCGCTGAGCCTGCACGTCCGGAGTCTGTGCTCCGCAATGGGAGAGGCCAAAAAAGAGAGGGGGCCCCCGACCCGCAAAAAAAAAAAAAAAAAAATACTCAAAAGAGTGAATTGGCCACCTCGTCTTTTAGAGCCAGCCTACACTTGTCAAGACCTTAACCAAGGAAAGGAGAAGCCACTGTGGAGCCAGGCATCTATCTCAAGTTCAGTCATCTCTGGCCAGGAGGGTGGACAGGTCAAGCTCTTGATGAGCAGGGCAATTTCCCATCAAAGGGGATATAGATAGGCAGGGCATGCAGAGATGGACATCTCTAGAAACTGGATCCCGGGCTTCCCTGGTGGCGCAGTGGTGGAGAATCCGCCTGCCAATGCAGGGGACACGGGTTCAATCCCTGGTCTGGGAAGAGCCCACATGCCACAGAGCAACTAAGCCGGAGCGTCACAACTACTGAAGCCCGCGCGCCTAGAGCCCGTGCTCCGCAACAAGAGAAGCCACCGCAATGAGAAGCCCGCGCACCGCAAAGAGTAGCCCCCGCTCTCTGCAACTAGGGAAAGCCTGTGCACGGCAACGAAGACCCAACACAGCCAAAAAAATAAAAACAAATAAATAAATTTATAAAAAAAAAAAAGAAACTGGATCCCCGGTAAATAGTAGGTTCGTACACTTGAACTCATTATATATAGACAGCCACACATGTATACTTACAGTCTATAAACACCCACATTTCAACATACAATGTGTATACACGTAATGTATGCATAGCGTCACGTATACACACATGCTATCTGTGCACCGTCACCTGCACACCATATATGTAGTACACACCCCTATATGTACACAATACAATTATCACTCAGAGATATTTTGAGTTTGGTTTCAGACCACCACAATACAGCGAATATTACAACAAAGTCACACAATTTTTTTTGGTTTCCCAGCGCATATAAAAGTTGTGTTTACCCTGTACTGTAGTCTATTAAATGTGCAATAGCTTTATATCTAAAAAAATCCAATGTACATACCTTAATTAAAAACACCTGATTTAAAAAAAAAAGACCTGGTGAATGAAAAATAAATACTGTATTAGAGTTAAAAAAACAAAAACAACAACAAAATACCTGGATGCAGGACTTCCCTGATGGTCCAGTGGTTAAGACTGTGCTGCCACTGCAGGGGGCGCAGGTTCCATCCCTGGTGGGGGAAGTAAGATCCCACATGCCATGCGCTGTGGCCAAAAGATAAAAAAAAAAAAAAGAAGAAAAAAACTTCATCAGTCTAGACACTTAAGATCTGCATACTTTATGTGTGAAATAAAAATTTTAAAAAACGCCTGATTGCTAAAAAATGCTAACCATCATCTGAAAATGCAGGCTTCCCACAAACCTTCAATTTGTAAAGAATGCAGTATCTGCGAAGTGCAATAGAATCAGGTGTGCCTGTATATACACAACCGTACAATACAATGTACACATGTCCATTCACCTGCACACAATTCCACACTCACATACGTACACAGCATATAAATACCCATATCTACTCATACAACACACATGCCATGGTGTCTATATACACATGTAAACATGCACATATGAGTCCAGTGGAGACACAGCCACATAACACACACTCCAGAGCTGTACCTGCATACATGTAACCCGAGTATTCACACTCATTTCCATGCACATGCAAAGCAGACCCACACGTACATACGTCCACGCAATGTCTGCCCGGACAACTGCGCCGCCAGCTTCATGCACTAGCCCATGGCCTCCGTCCCCTGAGCTAACCGTTTCCTGCTCTCCCTCTCCTAACAGCCATGCTCAGCACACAGGCACCTTTCTTCTTCCCCACGGCCCCCTTCATCCTCTTTGTCTTCACGGCTTCCACCGTATTTCACCTTCAGCAGAGGCTAGTGAAGATTCAGCCCACATGGGAGTTACAGACGCTGGAGCTAGCAACCGAGGAATCTCCCTCGAGCCCCCAGCAGAGCCCCCGGCCAAAGGGCATGTGGACGATCAATGCCATAGGCCGCCTGGGGAACCAGATGGGGGAGTACGCCACCCTGTACGCCCTGGCCAAGATGAATGGGCGGCCGGCCTTCATCCTGCCCCAGATGCACAGCACGCTGGCCCCCATCTTCAGAATCACCCTCCCCGTCCTGCACGACACCACGGCCAGCAGGATCCCCTGGCAGAACTACCCCCTGAACGACTGGATGGAAGAGCGGTACCGACACATCCCGGGAGAGTACGTGCGCCTCACCGGCTACCCCTGCTCGTGGACCTTCTACCACCACCTCCGCGCCGAGATCCTCCAGGAGTTCACCCTGCACGACCACGTGCGTGAGGAGGCCCAGAATTTTCTGCGGGGTCTGCAGGTGAATGGGAGCCGGCCGAGCACCTACGTAGGGGTCCACGTGCGCCGGGGGGACTACGTCCACGTTATGCCCAACGTGTGGAAGGGCGTGGTGGCTGACCGGGGCTACCTGCAGCAGGCCCTGGACTGGTTCCGGGCTCGCTACCGCTCCCCCATCTTCGTGGTCACCAGCAACGGCATGGCCTGGTGTCGGGAAAATATTGAGGCCTCCCGTGGGGATGTGGTCTTTGCCGGCAATGGCATTGAGGGCTCACCCGCCAAGGACTTTGCATTGCTCACGCAATGTAATCACACCATCATGACCATTGGGACGTTTGGGATCTGGGCCGCCTACCTCGCAGGTGGAGAGACCATCTACCTGGCCAATTATACCCTCCCAGACTCTCCCTTCCTCAAAGTCTTTAAGCCAGAGGCAGCCTTCCTGCCAGATTGGACTGGGATCGCGGCAGACCTGTCCCCACTCCTCAAGCACTGATGTTAGTTGGTCCATCAGCACTCCATTCCCCTCTTCTGGATCCCCCAAGATCTGTTCCAAGGTATGAGAAGCACATTATTACATGTTCCAGAACACTGCCCTCTTGTACCATAATGCTTCAGGCTGCAAGTAACAGAAGTCCCAACTAACTTGTTTAAATAACATGTTCATGTGTCTCACACAACAGGACCAGAGGTGGCACATCTCCAGGGTTAATTTAGCAGCTCAACCAGACCCCAGTTCTGGGACTTCCCTGGTGGCGCAGTGGTTAGGGGTCTGCCTACCAATGCAGGGGACATGGGTTCGAGCCCTGGTCCAGGAAAATCCCACATGCTGCTGGAGCAGCTAAGCCAGTGCACCACAACTACTGAGCTTGTGCTCTAGAGCCCGCGAGCCACAACTACTGAGCCTGTGCACCACAACTACTGAAGCCTGCGCGCCTAGAGTCCGTGCTCCGCAACGAGAAGCCACCGCAATGAGAAGCCCACGCATGACAGCAAAGAGTAGCCCCTGCTCACTGCAACCACAGAAAGCCCGTGCACAGCAACGAAGACCTAAAGCAGCCAAAAATAAATAAATAAAATAAATATTTTTTTAAATAAAAATAAGTCAAAAAAAAAAAAAGACCCCAGTTCTATCCATCTTGTTGAGCTGCCATAATCTCTTAAATCAGCTCCCACGTGCTCCCCGTGGTCCCAAGAAAGCTGCCACCTACTCAGGTGTCACACAGATATCCTTTTCCCAAGGCAGCAAAAAGAGGTTTGTTCTTATCTTAGGTCCCTTCTGAAGAGTGTGGGAAACCTTCCAAATCCTCCAGCAACTGGCCCCATGTCTCATTGACCAGAACTGTGTCACATGCCCCCTGACCCCTTGTAAGGCATGGTGAATGAGAGCCTGGGATTGACTTAGCTTCAGATCAATAAATCTTTGCCCCCTGCAGCTGGGGAGTTGATCAGCTTCCTCTGAAGGACATGGTGGCTTGCAGTAAGAAAATTGGGGTGCTCTTACCAAGGAAGAAGGGAGGAATGTCCGTAGGGTGCAAAACAGGGAAGCCCTGGATTATTGTGCAAGTTGGTCACTACACAAAGGTCCCTAGACAAGGAGGCAAGTGGGGCTTAACTAGAGCCTACAGTCTGCTCTCCAAGCCATGTGTCCCTGGGACTGTGTCCACCCAGAGGGCTCACTTTTTTCTAATTAGTCCATCCAGAGTGGGGACCTTTTGCCCAGTTTTTACAAGAGAGCCATATTGGCTAGTAGTTGGTGTGAATCCAAGACCTTGTGCCCCACCTCTGCAACCCTGGCTTCTGGGGACCACGACGATTATTGTTGAGAACTCAGAGACCAGCATGGCTCAATGAACTTGACGAGAGTCTATTCATTCTTTTAGTAAATACCTGTAGTGATGAACCTAACACGATCCCTGCTCTCAGGGACTGCGTTAACAAAACATAGTGGCTTCAAGTGACAGCAATTCATTCTTTCCCACCAGTCTGTGGACTGCTGGGTGATTCTCTGCTCCAGTGCAACGCTGGCTGGGTGCTGTTACGCAGCTGCACTTAGTGGCGCTCATTTGGAATATCCTGCAAGACAGGATAGCTTGGACTCCCTCACAACATGGCTTTCAAGCTGTTTGCTGAAACACTTACTCTTGGAGTCCTCAGTCGTCATCATCATGTAAGAAGTCCAGCCACCTGAAGCGACCATGCTGTGAGGAGGCCCAAACTCAGTGAGAGGCCACAGAGGAACAGTCTTAGCTGAGGCCAGCTTCAAGTCATCCCAGCCCACACATCAGACATGTGAGTGTAGAAGCCTCCAGATGATTCCACAGTTGTTCCAGTCAACCTAGCGTTTAGAGTGATCCAGCCGAGGTTCCCGACAACATGTTGCAGAGACAAGCCATATTCCTGATTCACAGATTCTGTGAGCACAGCACTCTGATTGTTTTGTGCCACTAAGTTTGGGGATAATCTGTTAGGCAGCCATAAATAACTGGATAACAAACTAAATAGATTAGTCTCTGCATTTGCAAAATCTTTTATGACTTTGGCATGAAGGAGGCCAACATGCATATCCTCACCTGACTTGAGATCCCACGTGCAAAGGTCCTGGGGCGGGGCGGGGCGGTAGTCTAGTTATACATGAGAGTGAAATGAGACCAGTGTGACTGGAGCACATGGAGACAGATATAGGTGGAGAAGTTAGCAGGGTGGGACCATGAAATGCCTTGTCGACCATGATGAGGACTTTGGGTTTTATTCTAAGACCGATGGGAAGCCATCAGAGGGCTTTAATTTAATTAGGGGAGTGATATGATCTGATTTGCTGTGTGGACATATCTGGCTGCTATGTGGAGAGAGGGCTGTAAGGGCAAGGATGGAGACAAAGAGACCAGTGAGAAGGCTACTGTAACACTTCCAGCATGCAGAGATGGTGGACCACGGAGGTAATGGTGAAATAGAAGTCTCATTTCAAGGGCCCAACAGAAACTCCTAGTGTCTCTCTGCCACAGTTTGACATTCCTGAAAAAGATAATCTGATGGGCTCAATCGGATTGATATCCATTGACTCATCCACCATGAGTCAATTACCTGAGGTCATGGGGGTGGGTCACCTAATACAAACACGGCCACCATATTTGTAAGGGAGCTGATTCAAGAAAAGGTAATGAAAGAATACCCTAAGAATTGGGAAGATGCTGGGACTTCCCTGGCGGTCCAGTGGTTAAGACTCCACGCTTCCACTGCAGGGGGCACGGGTTGCATCCCTGGTGGGGGAACTAAGATCCCACATGACGAACGGTGTGGCAAAAAAAAAAAAAAAAAAAAAAAAAATTGGGAGGAAGCTCCAAAAATGGGTACAGAGGAAAAAAAGGTTTGCCACTCACATTTCAGTGACTGAAGAAAGTCACGTGGTCATACCCAATTTCAAAGAGGTGTCGACGAAAACTTAATCAGTGGACCTAAGAAAGAAATGGAAAATTTTATTTGGGCCAAATTTGAGGATTATAACCAGGGAAGAGCATCTCAGAAAGCTCTGAGAACTGTTCCACCGGTTAGAAATCAAGGCACAGTTATATAAGTTTTTTTGAGACAGAGAGCTGTACATCAAATGATGTGTTATTGACAGTTTCCATAATCCGGATCTAAGCGTCATCCTGGTGGGTCACGTGACACCTTACGAGATCAAGAAGGAATGTTATCTTTTTTTTTTTTTTTTTTTTTTTGCGGTACGCGGGACTCTCACTGTTGTGGCCTCTCCCGTTGCGGAGCACAGGCTCCAGACGCGCAGGCTCAGCGGCCATGGCTCACGGACCCAGCCGCTCCGCGTCATGTGGGATCCTCCCGGACTGGGACACGAACCCGCGTCCCCTGCATCGGCAGGCGGACTCTCAACCACTGCGCCACCAGGGAAGCCCTCCAGCCTTATTTTATACAGCTTGAATGGGTGGTGGTCACTGGACCAGGTTTTGCTATTTAAAACAAAAGAAAAGAAATTCTATGTTCATTTATTAATTCAGCATTCTCTATTTTCTTCATGTACATTTAAAAATGTATTGGGGGGCACATTTTACATGCTTCTAAATTAAAACAACATCATGGTTAGTCATAGTTTCCCCAAATGTCTGTGACAACATCTCCCCTCATTTCGGCCAACCAAGCCTTCCCCTGCCCACCCCCATGTCAGTAAATGGCGCTGTCCATTTACTTCAACCAAACACTTAATCTTACCCTTGATTCTTTCTTTTACATTTTATCCACCAGCAAGTTGTTAGCTTTACCTAGAAAATATACCCTGAATCTGATCTTCTCTCCTTCCTTTACCATAACCATTCTGTCCAAGTCACCACCATCTCCACCTGGACAGGTGTAGAAGTTTCTTTAAAAACAAACTAAACATTTTATACATAAAATAGAGAGTGTAGAAAATGCCCATCACGCAATTCAATAATTTCAAAATGTCCCCATTCTTCTTTCATCTATGCCCCTCATCTTCCCCCTTTTTACTTTATGCAAATCTCAGACAGCAAATTCTTCCATGCATGAATTCTGTATCTCTAATGGATGAGGAATTAATAAAAATATAACCACATAAATATCTAAGACAATTTTATAATAATATGTTAATATCGTCTATCAGAAGTCTGTGTTGAAACTTTTCTGACTGTCTCAAAAATGTCTTATTACTGTGTTTGGATCCAGATCTAAACAAACTTCACGGGAGCCGCGGAGGTGAGCGCAGCAACAGGGGTGCGGAGGGCAAAGCGGAGAGATTCCCGCAGAGGATCGGTGCCGACAGGCACTCACCAGCCCGAGAGGCTTGTCTGCTCACCCGCCGGGGCGGGCGGGGCTGGGAGCTGAGGCTCGGGCTTCGGTCGGATCCCAGGGAGAGGACTGGGGTTGGCGGCGTGAACACAGCCTGAAGGGGTTAGTGCGCCATGGCTAGCCGGGAGGGAGTCCGGCAAAAGGTCTGGAGCTGCCGAAGAGGCAAGAGACTTTTTCTTCCCTCTTTGTTTCCTGGTGCGCGAGGAGAGGGGATTAAGAGCGCGGCTTAAAGGAGCTCCAGAGACGGCGCGAGCCGCTGCTAAAAGCGCGGACCCCAGAGACGGGCGGGAGACGCTAAGGCTGCTGCTGCCGCCACCAAGAAGCCTGTGTGCAAGCACAGGTTACTATCCACACCCCCCTTCCAGGAAGCCTGTGCAGCCCGCCACTGCCAGGGTCCCGGGATCCAGGGACAACTTCCCCGGGAGAACGCACGGCGCGCCTCAGGCTGGTGCAACGTCACGGAGGCCTCTGCCGCCGCAGGCTCGCCCGCACTCCGTGCCCCCCCCCCCCCCCCCCGCCCCGGCCTGAGTGAGCCAGAGACCCCGAGTCAGCGGCTCCTTTAACCCCGTCCTGTCTGAGCCAAGAACAGACGCCCTCCGGCGATTTACATGCAGAGGCGGGGCCAAATCCAAAGCTGAACCCCGGGAACTGTGCGAACAAAGAAGAGAAAGGGAAATTTCTCCCAGCAGCCTCAGGAGCAGCGGATTAAATCTCCACAATCAACTTGATGTACCTGCATCTGTGGAATACATGAATAGACAACGAATCACCCCTAATTGAGGAGGTGGACTTTGAGAGCAAGATATATTATTTTTTCCCCTTTTCCTCCTTTTGTGAGTATGTGTATGCTTCTGTGTGAGATTTTGCCTGTATAGCTTTGCTTTCACCATTTGTCCTAGGGTTCTGTCCGTCCGGTTTGTTTGTTTGTTTTTACTTTAAAAATAAAAAAAAATTTCTTAATAATTATTTTTTATTTTAATAACTTTATTTTATCTTTATTTTATTTTATCCTCTT